TGATTACGTATTCAAGTGGAGACCGTCTAACACAAATTGACTACTGGGCAGTGCGTTACAATAACCTAAACAATATAAAGGATTGCAAAGTTATCCCAGGTGAAGCTGCATACCTCAGTATAAGCCACTACTTCTAGACCTAAAAATTCCGGTTTAACGACAAAGAAGACATATGACTAAGAAGAGAGCACGGATCAAGTGGTATAAATTGAAAGGGAACTCTCTGGTCAAAGAAGCTCTGGTAAGTACTCTGCCGGCTGCAGGTAAGAAACCGGAACAGTTGTGGTCAACCTTGAAGTGTAACGTGCATCAGGTAGCAAGGAGTTTACTGGGCTACAATAAACCAGGAAGAAGAAGAATCGACAAAGAAAGTTGGTGATCGAACGATGAGGTTCAAACGGTAAAGAGTCAGGCGTACAAGCAATGGCATAAGTCATCGGAAAGCGATCGACAGTTGTACCTAAAAGTGAAGCACGCTGCAAATACATGTGTCAAAAAAGCGAGGAAAGCATGCGTAGAAGGTGTATAAGAAATTGGAATCTCGTGATAGAGAGCGCGGTACATACCGAATAGCGGAAAGGAAGGCAGAGTTCGCAAAAGATATGGAACACTTCTACCATGTGAAGGATAAGCATGGAAAAACTTTAAGGAGACCACAGGATATAACTGCGAGATGGCGAACGTACTTCGAAGAATTGTGGTCTTCTATTAGCAGTGGCACAGCATCCCACCAGCTGACCCTGTAAAAGGACCAGCACCACTCATAACAGCAGAGGAAGTATGGCTTGCCATAGCAAGGACAAAGAACGGCAAGGCCTCTGGTCCCAATGACATTTCAAGCGAATTCTGGAAAGAATGCGGATGGCTGGTGCCTCTTGGCTTGCAGGCTTCTTCAATCAGGTCATCAAAACTAAGAGCATGCCCCATGATTGGTCAAAGAGCGCAACGATTCCAATATGGAAATATAAAGGCGATATCGCAAATTTTTCAAAGTATCGGCAAATTCGGCTGATGAACCAGACGATCTTTGAAAGACTACTTGAAACACGACTTCCGCCATCAAAGAGTTGCCATCCAACCAGCGAGGATTTCTCGGTGCGTGCTGCTGACGCCATCCATACTGTACGGATAATGATGAAGAAGTATAGAGAAAAACGAAGAGAGCTGCATGCGGGTTTCCTTGATATGGAGAAAGCTTTCGACAAGGTTCCCCACGATGTCATATGGTGAGCACTGCGAAAGTAGATGGTTCCAGAAGTATACATACAAAAGATAAAAATGCTTTATCATGGAGCCACGA